CCCCCTGCAGAACGTGGCCGTCCGCAAGGTCAAGGTGCTCAAGGCGCCCAAGTTTGACCTGACCAAGCTCATGGAGGTGCACGGGGACTACAGCGCCGAGGAGGTCGGCGCGCGCGTGGAGCGGCCCGCGGCGGCAGCGCCGGCGGAGGGCGAGGCCGCGGCGACGCCCGCGGAGTGAGCGCGTGCGGGGGGGTGCGGCGCGGCGGGCCGCCGCGCCGCGCGGCGCTGGGGGCGCGCGCGCTCGCGCCTGCAGCGTGTGCTTGGAGCTTTCTATCGCCTGTGTAATCAGCTCCCTACATGTCGGTGCACGACGGCTGGGGGCCTTTCAGCGGGTCGTAACCTTTGGCTTGTCAGGCGCTGGCCAGGGAGCTCCCCACAGCCTCGAGGATGGTGCGGCAGGGGCCGCACGGCATGCGCGCTCGAGCAGCATGATGAAACGAGTTCATGGGACAAAGGTTGCATCACAGTGTTGGAGCAGTCAGCAGCGCTGAGTCGTGCCCCCAGTTTGGTACCGGAGCAGGAATGAATTGGCCGAGCCCCCTGACTGTGCAGTCGCACGATGCCCAGGCTGCAGGTTGGATGCTGCAGCAGGCCCGCGTGTTTGCAACGCCGCTGCTGCATGGTGGCGGGCATGCTGTAACGCGCGTGTCAAGCTCCAGTAAGCTGGTCCTGTGCAGTGCCCTGTCAGTTGCTCGACAGCGTCGCTGGCCAGTGGGTGCCATGGGTTCATCAAGGGTGTCGGAACGCCTTATTTCAATTGAGAGTTTTCTCAAAATCGGTATATCTCTACTCGTTGCAGTCGGCCACCAATCCTCGACACACGATGCGTAAGACCGGTGCGCCGAGTGGGTGAACGGGTCGGTTGACGATGATCATATTATTAGTTATATCTCACCGGGGTGCTCCACCGGGAGACGGGGCGCAGCGGGCGCATTGGGCTGCTCGGGCCACCTCATTCAATCCATGCAGTGATGACGCCGCCGCTGTTCGCTGCCAGCTCTTAGGTTGTGAGGCTGCTTCGATAAATGGGCAGCCCGAAGCATATGTGTGATTGGCTTTACGCGCGCCTCATCTCCTGCCTCCACCACTGCGACATTAGGCGAGGTGGGAGGCTCGGTTCGCATCCTCGCCCAGCCCATCACTCACACCGCTTACTCCCGTCGGCCCCGCCGCCCTTGCCCCCGCAGCCTGCGTGCTGCTGGCGCTCTGCGTCCTGTGCGCGGCCGCCGCAGGCGCGGCCGCCGCGCACAGTGGCGCCGACGGCGCGGCGACGTGGGCCAACGCGCCGCGCCGCGCGCTGCTAGACGCCAAGAGCGCCGCGGCCACCGACGCCGCAAAGGGCGAGAAGAGCGACAAGTTCTTCGGCGCACCCCTGGCAGGGTGGGTACGGCCGGGGGGAGGGGCGGCTCGAAGCGTGCGCGCCCTGTTGAGCCATTGAGCGGCCTGCTGACGGGTTCCGAGTGGGTGTGGCGCGCGCGAGCCACACCCTCCGAACCACAAACGAGCGCGCACCCTCACGCATCACCCTACGCCTGGTTCCGTCCTCCAGGTTGGCGGCCGCCACCTTCCAGCCCTGGATCTACCCCAGCTACCCTGCCTACAGTTACAGCCCGGTGAGACCCCCGCCCGCGGTTTTGAGGCGCGCACCACTTCTTGGGGTGGGGGATGTCGCCGTCTATCCAAAGGGGTCTCGCGCGCTTCCATGTGCCCACCATGTACAACAATTACTTCACTTCTGCCGTGACCTAATAAAAGCATGTGTAGTTGTCGCACACCTTTGAAAACACACACACACACACACACACACACACACACACACACACACACACACACACACACACACACACACACACACAAACACAAACACATCTTCTTCCAGTATGGCTACTACCCATACCGCGGCGGCTACTACCCCTACCGCAGCGGCGGTTACTGGGGGTGGGTTGCTGCCTGTTCTCTGGCCCGGGCTCTTTCACATTTGCGCGCTTGCAAAGTCATCGCTGCAGTCAAGGCCGGTGGTGCTCTGCTGCGCTGGCACCTCGCAGGGCGCGGCGGCGCCTGCGACGAAGCGGCGGCCAGAGGCCAGTCCTGGCCGCTGCACTGCGCCCTCACACCTCTTGACCATCCCCCCCGCTGCCGCTACTGTGCCGCCGCAGGCCCCGCTGGTACGACCGCGACGACAACTGGGGCAAGCGCTAAACGCAGCGCCGCGCCGGCATGCGGCAGGCTTGCGCAGCGCGCATGGCGTGGCCGGGGGTACCGCCGATCAAGGGGCTGGGGGCGTGAATGGTCGGTCACATGAACGCAAGGCGAGAACCAAGGACAGGACAAGATGTTTCCAGGTCATAGCCACCAGGGCGCGCGGACGCCTTTTAATGGCTAACCATGCATTGAGATGGACGTCGGCGGCTTGGCAGGATAGATACTATCCATTCTAGTAGGCGCGTGACGGCATCGCATCGAATTGTCAAGAAGCCCTATGATGTATGTCTATTGAGGCATGAAGCACGTGCCTTGTTCAGTGCCGTCCTGCTGTCGCACTTTTCGAGGACTGTTGGATCAAGGGGTTTGGCAGGATCTTTGCCAGTGCTGTTACATATCCTGGGGTATCAGGGCTCAACCAAGTTGCTTTCCTCCCCCCCTTGAGGACGCCTTGGTACCTGGGGTGCGGCCACCACCACCATTCGCCAGGCGTGTCTGTGCTCTCATGGCAAAACATGCTGCTTGTGCTGGTGGAATGTACTATTGAACCTTTGCCGGCCTGCCACGGTTTGCGAATTTGTGCTTACGCCTGCCAATCCCATTGTGCCTGCACATTGCTTTTGTGAATGAGTCGGCCGTCTGCTGGCGCGAGGGACCCAGGTTATTCTAGGCGCTTCGTTAAGGACTTGTTGCCGTCTGTAAGAGGGATCCGTTGGCTTTCTAGGCAGGAGAGCGCTGATTTTTGGAGCGCTGACTGCTTCGAGTGGCCCGCCTGTCCTGCCAGCCTTGCGGCTGCCCGCCGCCGTCGCTTTGGTGTGGTCCCCAGGGTGCCCACTACCGTTGGTACTGCCGAGGTGCTGCTTGGCACAGCCTAGACAGCGCAAGGGCCCCTGGCCGCAACAAAGTTTTACCTGAGACAATTGTGTGTTGGGATTTGCATATTGACTATGCATGCGCGCAGCCCCAGTCCTGTTCTGCTGCCGCTGCGTGGCGCCCCAGCAGATGTGAACAGTCGGATGAAAGTGCGAGCACTGCAGGACGGCATGATGGTGGTCCCGCAGGCCCTTGGACATGGCGTTCACTGCCCATCAAGGAATACAATTGTAAATTAGAACACAACAAAAAAGAAAAAAAGCGAGGGAGCGCAGCAGCCCCATGTACAAGACAGGGGGCGCTGAGTCGGTATCAGAGCCATTGCAGAACGCTCCTGCATCAGTTCGTTGGGCAGCCTGGAGAGCTGCACTGCTGCGCCTCGCTGCCGGGTGGCAAGATGCCCAGTCAGCCGTGTTTGCGCGCCAAGGGTTGTTGGTCACAAGTTGCTCAACAGAGCTCACATTCCTGTTTCGTGCCCGGTATGCGTTGCCCAAATGCTGGCCCCCCTCTGCTTTTACAACACTTGGTCATCTTGCGTTGCTTGATGCTTTGCATTGAGTAGCGAAGCGACAGACAGTTGGTTGATTTCGCCAACTCTGCTTCTGGTATCAGTATCGGGGTGCCCGGGGCGTGCTGGCACCGAGCTGAGACAGGTGATGTGTTGGGTAAGGAAACAGCTTTGAACGGTCCGCTGATGTCAAGGTGATGCGGCGTGGGCGAGCCTAAAAGTGCCAGCGCCTGCTGCATGCGGCCGCGGTTGGCACCAAGCGTAACATTGCTCTGTGCGTACAGCCACTGATTCATTCAGTCCATGCGGGGCGCTGATCATTAGTGACAGGCACCCTGAGAGCAGGCGCGACTCACAGCTGTTCGCGGGGCTGCGGGCTTCTGCACTGCGCGTTGCGCCTGCTGCCGCGAACGCTCGCTGACCCTGTGCTGCTCTGGGCTGGGGTTGCTGCGTTGCAAGGCCTTCAACGCGCGCCGCGGGCCCCAGCCGTGAGCGTCGTTACAGGTGCGCCATCCCAGCCAGTGGCATCCGGGCGGAGGAGCGACGACATGGCGCAGAGTTCTTGGGCAAAGACACAGTTGAGGTGGCCGGGCGTGCTACGACGGGGCGTGCGGCGTCAAGGCCTGCGCTTCCCGGCGAGGCGCATGGGGCAGCCATACTTGGCAGTGTTGAAGGAAGCAGGAGAGAGGATGGGGTGCGGCAGCCGCACGGTTGGGCAAACCCAACCTATATTGCCACTGGGTTCGTTTGGGGGGGGGGGATGCGGTAGGACGCAGCCCCAAGGGTTTGTGTCAGCGGTCAGCGGCTCAACACAGTGAACCAAACATGCAGTGTGGCGGGATGAGGAGAGGGCCGGCGGGACGCCGCCCCAAGCAAATCGAGCCGTCCCATGGGCCAGACGTGAAAGTTGAGGGGTGCAGGTGTTGAGCATTGGTGCGGTCAACGACAACAGTCAACGGGGGAGCCTGTGGGCCATCAGTGTCGGCGTGTGCATCGTGTGTGATGAGCGATAGCAATACAAGTGTGCGCGGCGCAGGTCGGCCGAAAGCGAGCGGTCGTGCTCGCCGGCAGCCTGTCTGCGCCCCGCGCAGAGAGGCGGGCACCTTGATCACGTGTGCGCGCGTGCATGCGGCCGAGGCCTGGGAGGCGCACACCTCGCCCTCCGCCAGAGGGGAGGAGGACGGTCCGCGCCAGAGTGACGGCGGCGAAACCACACCGCGCGTGAACAAGCAAAGCCATATGTGTCAGGCATCGCAGCGTGCGCGGTGCCTCGAGCGCGGCAGGGCAGGCAGCCGGTGGTATCCTGGCCAGCACGCTTGGTGCTCTCAGCTGCGCGCCTGTGCCGCATACGCCGGCCCCACCCATCCCGTCGAATAAACAGTGCTCCATCATGCGCCGTGCGGAGCGCCGGCAGCCGGAGGTCCCAGGCCGATGCGGCGCTGTAATTGGGGCCCAACCCCCAAAACCGACGCCCGGCTAAAGAGGGCCCCATGGTCGGAGCGGCGCCAAGCGGCAAGGCAGGCTCAAGCGGCGCACGGCGGCGGACAGCGAGCGCTTGCTGCAACGGCGCGGCTGGGCCGCTGGCCGGCAATGCCTCAGGGCCTCGTGCGTTTGGCCAACATGCGGCGGGGGTCCAAGGAAGGCGTGATCAAGCACCGCGTGCAGATGCCAAACGTCAGGAGCTGAGAACGTCACGCTCACTGCTGAATGTTTATATCACACACGTGCGGCGGTGCACAGGAAAAGGGGGTTCGGCGCGGTTCGACATCCGCAAGGCGGCTGCTGTGGGGTGCATGAGGTGCAGTGTTGCGCGCTGAGGCGCCTGGTGTGCGCGGGGCAGCCATCGCGGGCAGCCGCGGTGCAATTCAGTTCAGGGCAGGCAGGATATTGCCACAAGCCGCCGCAGACGGGGGACGGGCAGCGCCGCATGACGGCGTGGCAGCTCAGAACGAGCCAGGGAGGCCTGCGCCGGCGTCGGCCGCGGACGCTCGCTGCGGCCCCCCTGTCGCGGAAGATCGCAAGCCGCAGGTCGCCACCGCGGCCTTGCTCGGCGGCAGCGGCCCCAGCAGGCCGTTTGTCCCTCCGCGCGCCTGCGCCAGCCGCGCCGCGGCGAGGGCGCTGCTGGCGCTGCTGCCCGTGCTGCGCACGTCGCTGATGGCGCTGCTGCTGCCGTCGCCGCTGGCGCTGGTGCTGAAGCCGCCGCCACCCCCTCCGCCGATGCTGGCGCCGGCCCCACTCCCGCTCCCGCTGGCACTGCTCGCGCGCACGGCCCACAAGCCGCGCCGCCGGCTGCTGCCGAGGCTGCTCACGCTGCCGCACCGCCCGCCCGCGCGCGCCCGCCGCGCGTCCGCCGCGCACGCCGCCGCGACCTCCGCCTGCGTCGCCGCGCCGCGCAGCCACGGGTGGCCCAGCAGCTCCGCGGCCGACGCGCGGCGCGCGGGGCAGCGCTCCAGGCAGCGGGCCAGGAAGTCGCGCGCGGCAAAGCTGGCGGGGGCCCCCTCTGGCAGCGGGACGCCCCCGCTGCGGTTGACCACGTCAGCCAGCTCCTCCAGCTCCCACGCGCTGTCCCCGACAAACACGTCGCGCCCCGCGATGACAAAGTAGACCACGGTGCCGAGTCCCCACACGTCCAGCGCCGGCGCGAGCGTCGCGCGCAGCGACGGCACGCCGCGCCCGTCCGCGCCGCTCCGCGCGCAGCCGCCGCCGCAGCCGCACTCGCCGCCGGGGCGCCGCGTGAGGTGGTTGAGGCTCTCGGGCGGCATAAACAGCGGCGTGCCGGCGACGCCGACGGCGCGGCCGAGCTCCTTGTCAGTCAACACGGCGGCCTCCTCCAGGCTGACCGCCTCCCCCCAGTCAAACAGCTGCAGCCGCTGGTCAAGCAGCACCCCGAGGTTGTCCGGCTTGATGTCGCGATGCACGATGCCGCGCGCGTGCAGGTACGCGAGCGCGGCCGCGAGCTGGTGCGCGGTGTGGCGCGCGGCGTCCTCGTCGTACGCGTCGGCGCGCGTCAGGCGGTGGTCGCGCAGCGGGACGCCGGCCCAGGCCATGAAGATGCTGATGCGGGCGCCCTCGTCGGCTATGAACTCGTAGGACACGAGCCGCTCGTGGCAAAGCTGCTGGAGGATGCGGATCTCGGCCTCCACCTTTTCGGGGGAAAAGGCGGGAAAGTGGTTTGTGGGAGGGGCTGAGGGGTGAGCGGCAGCAGGCAGCCGGGCCGGGCGCGCCGCGATGAGTGCGCCATCAGAAGGCGGCGGGCGGGCGCAGAGCGCTGAGGGTCCCCAGCCGACGCCGGCGGCCGATGTTGCGGGGCGTGGCCCGATCTGAAGACCTCGCGGAGCCGTTTCAGCCAGGGCACGGGGCCGCGCGCGCACCTTCTGCCGGGAGCCGGTGTACTCCTTCACGATGTAGCCGCCCAGCGCGTATGCCTTGCATGCGCGTGGGGTGCGCCGCACATGGAATGGCTTCACAAAGCCTGCCTTGCGGTAGGCCTTGAACTTGTCCCTGCGGGGCCGCAGCGGCGGCAGCATGCGCCTGTTTTTGGCTGGTGGCCGCGCTAGGAGCTTCGTAGCGGACATGCCGTAGGAGCTGCAGAGCGACTCCCCTGTTCCCCATTAGGGCTTCCGAGACTCAGCATGCTGCAAGTGGAGAGTGCGTGGCTCCCGGAGGCCGCGGGATGGGTGCATCATCGCAGTCAGACGCACCATAGCGACTTGGCGCTCTCCTCGCTGGCCGACTCTCCCTGCTCGTTCAGGATCAACGTCGCCTCACGGTGCGGCGCCAGGCCTCTCCCCAAAAGCTGGGAGAGCCCGGTCAGTGGGCTCCCCAGCATGCCCGGCCCTCCACCAGTCCTCGCTCAGTACTCTGTGATAACGTGATAGTTCCCAAATTTGTGCTGCTATGCCGTCGAACCACCGCATAGGGGCGCTCTGCGCCCAAACTACCGCGATACACGGCTAGCTCCACAGATGGGTCAAGGTTTATATAAAAGAATGCAACGAAGACGCAGCATGCAATGCGACCTGACCGCGACCTGTTGACCGCAACAGGACACCATGGCCGGGCGCAGCCCAATGCGGCTGGGTGACGGTTGCCTTTCTCATCACTGCTCACATCATTCGCTGGCAATCATTTGTGAGCGACAGCAAAAGTGTTGCCAATCTCTTTCTATCAGTCCTGCGCCACCCTCTCTCCCGCCCCTCAGCCTCGCTGCGATTTTGCGTCCCCCCGACTGATGTCCCCTGAGCAGACTCTTGACCCACCCCAACACCCCCTCCCCCCGCCGAGCAGATGGTCCTGACCCGGAACATTTACACCTCAGGTGTCCGCCGACGCTCAGAGCCGGCCCCAACGCTGGGGCCCGCCTAGTTCATCAGCCGGACCAGGTTGTTGATCTTGCCCTCCCGGTTGCCCGCCTGGCCACCCTCAACGTAGTGCACCCTCTTCTTGGGCAAGCCGCCGCGCGCGCTGCTGAGCTTGAAGGGCCAGAGGAAGTTGGTGGCCTGCTTGAAGGCGGGGCCCACGGTGTAGATCTCGTGGATGAGGTCCTCCACGCAGATGATGCCGTGCTTGCCCAGGTTCTGAGGTGGGGAGGGGCCGGGGCGCGGCGGCGTGGACGGGTGAGGGGCCGATGCTGGGAGGCGGCGCAGGGCACTGGAGCTTGCAAAAGAGTGCCAACCCGAGGGGTTTGGGAGTCGAGACAGCAGGGATGCGAGCAGGTAAGAAAATCACCGGGACGCGCACGCCACCAGGGCAATCGGGCAGGGGCCAAGGGCGCCGCAGCGCGTGTCAATGTAGGGAAGCACCCGTGCGCGCCTGCGTCAACCCAGAGCAGCGCCTCGTCCAGGCTCTGCTGCCTCAAGCCGCTCGCGAAGCTGCCGAGCACGCTATAGACACGCCAGATCGCGCCCCCTCACCTCCTCGATGATCTTGTTGTCGGTCAGCGGCAGGCGGTTGCCCTTGACCTTGGCGTACCCGCGCTTCAGCACCAGCTCCCTCACGCTCTTCAGGTTGGGGTAGCCGTACGCGATGTAGGGCTCCACGCGCGTCAGCAGGCCCTGGGTGGCCTTGTTGATCTGGGAGGCGAGGCGGCGGGTTTGGGTGTGAGGGGAAGGGCGTTGGGGCGCGGGTAGATGCGTGGGAGGAGGGGTGCGCGCCGCAGGATGACACACGCACATGCATAGCGACTGCGCACCGCCGCACATGCTGCAGCGCAGCCTCCTGGCTTGCGGGCTAGAACAGGCACACGCTGCCTGTGCCTTGCAGCGTGCGTTCACTGCCCGGCAGGGTCACGCAGCTCCGTCCCCGCTGCCCCAATGTGCTTAGGCCCCTGGCCAATTGTCAGCTGGACGTCACAGCCGCCGCATGCCCGCCACACGGCTGCCAAAAGGCAGCGCAGCCGCTCCGCCAGCGCCGCGCACCCGCACAAAAACGGCGTTGCCGATCTGGCGCAGGCGCAGCAGCTGCAGGATCTTCTTGGTCTGCGCGCAGCAGCGGCGGCGCGGCAACGCACAGCAGGAGCACAGTCAGCTGCAGCTGGTGTGTGCTCCAGGGCACCCGACCAGAATCGGCCTTCCGTGGTGAAACCTGCCGCCTTGCAGGGCCACAGCTGCCTACCACTGCGCTCGCGCGCCACCCGCCGCCCTGTGCGCTGCCAGCTGCTGAGCTCGTTGCGCCTGGCGGGAGGGTGCATCAGGCGTAACGCATCCGCCCCTGCCCGCCGCTGCTTCGTGTTTGTTTGCGTGGCGCCCGCCCCCACCTTGGGGTGGATCTTGTTGAGGCCCCTGATGCGGATCACAAACGCCAGCTTGGCCTCGGGCTCAACGTAGAAGCCCTTGGCCGCCTTGGCCTCGCGCTTCAGGCGGATCAGGTCCTTCTCCTGTGGGATTGAGGCGCGGGGCGCGAGGGCACACGGCAAAGGATGGGTCGAGCAAGGCGTGGTGACGTGGAGGCGTGCACGGAGCGAGGCGGGCGGCGCACTTGCGCTCCGCACTGAGAGGGCCACGGGCGCGGCGGCTTGGAGCGGATGTCAACGCAGTGAAGCGCTGGCAGTGTGGGCGCCAAGATAAGAAAGTGCCGCAACTTGAAAACCAAATACCATGCAGCAACTATGTCTGCTCCCAGCTGCAGAGCCTGATCGGCGGCTCGCTACACCGCCGGCGCGATGTAGCGCAGCGCACGTTTCGCTGGCAAATGCCACAGGCGGCGGCTCTCCTTGCGGCCCGCAGCTGATTGATGTTGCCGTTTGCCTATCCACACCTGCTGCCTGAACTCCTCGACGTAAGCCGCGGCCTTCTTGAAGATGACCCTCCTCGTCTCCTTAGCCTTCTTGCGCGCCTCCAGGGCGTCCGCGGCCTTCTGCGTCGCCCAAGCCTCCTCGCGCTTGGCCTTCTTAGCCGCGAGCTCAGGGACGGGCGTCATGGCTACAAAAGGCTGCTCGATGCGCCGACTTAGATCGCTGGGCGCGTTTTGAGGGGCTCGCCAGCCGTTAGACAGGTGTCTGGCCTGCTAAAAGCCCGACTAAAAGGACAGACACGGTTGCTGCGCGACGCCAAGTGCGGCACTTGGCGGGCAGCCCAGCAGGCGGCGCATTCAGCATTCCAGTGTCCCAGTGCCAGTCCTGAGAGCCCGCTCCCTATGCATGAATGTACGATGCCCAAATGTTCCAAGCGCACGCTTAGCTGTCCGAGGGCGGGTGCTGAACTCAGAGACCTGATCGCTGTAGAGCTGCCTCATTAATGTGGCAGGGGGGGTTGGGTGTGCTGGCCAGCAGCAGTCATGCTTGATGGGTGACCTGCACTCTTCATACTTGGTCCAGGAAAGTGGCAACCTCCATAGCAACTGGTTGAGTTCGGCAGCGGCCCTCACCCCTGCGCAGATGAGATTGTCAGCTGCAACGCAAGGGTTGAAAGAACCTTGTGTGGGACTCTCTTGCAGCACTGCGGCTAGTGGCTGGGCAAAATCAAGCATCCCATAGCATGATCAGGAAAGCGGTGCGCAATCGCGCTCGTGTTGCTGGCAAGGGCGCTTGCGCCACAGTAAGCAGGGTGGGTCGAAGGCCAACCACCCCATGCATGACAGGTCGTTTGTTGCAAGAAGGGAAAGACCCTCCTGCTCGATACACATGACACGAATCAATGCATTAGTAAGAGATGAATGTTTGGGACGCTGCTTTGTAATTCATTCGAATGTGCTGTGACGTGCGTCAGCACACGGATCAAAAACCCCAAATGTATGTGATAATCACTTGACCGGAGCCACCTGATACAAAACAATCCACAAGGTCAAACAGTGTCAAACACGCTGTCAGGGTGGGATGCGGAGGCAGAGTCAGAGTTGGCACCAAAGCGCCCGCAATTACCATGGCACCGCTCGTCAGCCCACACTCGATTGTGTTATGCCAGCGCCGGAGGCCCCTTGGCCTCCAAGCCCCTTGCCTCTGGCGCGCGCTTGGCGACCTGGCCCGTGCTGCTATCACGGCTTGTTTACAAAGCTTGGCGGCTTGAAGTTGCCCCTGCCCCTGCCCCGCAGCCCCGCGACTCGGAACTGCCCAACGCCCAGCAGCCCCGCCCCGCCTGCGCCGCCGCCGCCAGAGCCCAAGCCCGACGCAGCTGCAGCAGGCGCTTTGCCGCCGCCGCCGCCACTGCCGCCGCCGCCGCCAGTGGGGCCAGTGCTGGCAGCTGAGGCAGGGGAAGTGACAGTCGGCGCCTTGAAGCCCCGGCCCTTGCTGAGGCCAATCCTAGGTACAGTGGCGGCTGCCAAGGGCTTGGTGGCACCTGCAACGCGGGCGTGCGTGGCATGATTCAGTGGTTGGCTTTGCTAGCGCTGGCATGCACTGACCTTTGCAGGTGGACTCAGCATCAGGCCACAGGAGGGGTTGACCGCGAGTGCAGGCACAACCGCAACACGTCCTTGGTCCCCTTAACGCCCTGAATTGTCTGCACCTGCAGCCTCGGCGCTCATGGCCGTCGCCGCCGGCGTGCTGCTGAGCTGCTTAACAGAAAACGGCGCGCGCCCCGCTGGGCCCTTCGGCACCCCGACCATGCCGCTGCCAGCAGCCTTGGCAGTGCTAGCCGCCTCCCTAGCATCCTCGCTGTCGGGCGCTGCTGCCGCCACCCCGGTGCCGCCCCCGGTTCCAGGCATTGTGTGGGCCTTGGCACCCTTGCCAGACGGCTTGCGCACGACTGGGCCGGGTGCAGAGCCTGGGGCGGCCCTGCTGTCGCCGCCCGATCGTGCGGCAGGCCCAGCGCCCGTCACTGCTGGCGCCACCGCCACAGTGCCGACTGCAGCAGCTGCTCCTTCAACTGCTAGCACCTCCCGCGCCTGCACCTCTGCAGCTGCAGGCGCTGCAGCGGTGCCGCTGTGGCCAGAGCGGCCACCCCCCCTGCCGGAGCCGGCCCTGCCCCTGCCAGAGCGGGCGCCGCCGCGGCCAGACCTGACTGCAGCAGGGGCCGCCTCGTCATCGCCAAGCGCTGCAGCGGCGGCCTTGGCCAAGGGCCGGACACCACCAGCGCCACCGCTGGCTGCGGCAGAGCCGCGGCCACGGCCAGAACCTTTGCCGCCAGCCCCGCCGCGGCCTCCCTGCACAGCGTCATGTGGTTAATGGGCCCAGCGGTTAGGGTCTGCTGTGTCGCCTACGTAGCCTGGGGGACAACCTCTTGCCTCGCAGCAAGCAGAATCCAGACTTGCCAAGCTGGCCCACAGCCCACGCATCCAACCCCTACCAGCGAGCCTTTGATCGAACCCACCCTGCCGGACGCTGTGCCGCCCCTCTTGCTGCCGCCACCCCTCTTGCTGCCACCGCCCCTCTTGCTGCCACCGCCCCTCCTCTTGCCGCCCTTGGTGCCGCTGTCGTCGCTGTCAGCGGCGTCCTCTGATGACGCCGCGTCCTCCTCCTCGCTGCTGCTGCTGCTTGCATCCGACATCTGGTTTGGGCGGGTGCGCGCAATGCCCGCGCTTCTGTTCGCAGTCGTGCCACGCCAGGCGACAGACAGGGCAAGTAAAGGCGTGTTGAACTCCCAAGTGCCAGTTGAGCGTCCTTCGGTGCCCAACAATGCAGCTTGAACCCGGCATTCCCCCAGCTTGACGCACCTCTGCTGAATAGTCCGATTCCGATGCAGCACCTTTCTTGCTGCGCTTGGGGGGTGTGGACCTGTCACTATCACTGCCACTCAAGCTGCCGTCGTCCTCGCTGTCGGGCACCGTCTCCTGGGAGATTATTGAGGGGTAGGCGATGCGAGCGGCATTTAAAGCAGGAGCGGATGCCGTGGAGGAGAAAAAGGCACACAAGGGCCTCTGCAAGTGCGCGGGCAAGCTGCATTGCTGTGATGCGTGCTGCCGGCCTGTACATGACGCGTGTGCCACTAGCTCACCTTGCGTGAGTGCGGCCTACTGGTCCTCTTGCCACCTAAGAAGGGGCGTGGGCCGGCGGAAGCATGCATGTTGTTGAGTTTGAGCGCTGCAATGCCATGTATCAGGCAGCATGCAGACCCGACCAGCACATCCAGGAGATGCATGCATGCTGGCATGCACGTCATGCGCCCAAGCGTCCCACATGCATGCATCTGCGTGCATGCGACCGTGTCCCAGCCCTAATGTTTGCACTTCCTTGCTCACCGATGCATGCGTCGTCCCCCGCTGCTGCATCCCCCCCGCGCGGCGCCGCCGCTGCCTCTTCATCGCTCTCGCAGCACTCCGTCCGTCCTGCAGCCTGACCCGCCTCGCCTTCGCCGCTCGCAGATATCCGCGGCGTTGTGGCCGCTGTAGCCGCAGCGTCGTTGGCGGGGCCTGGCAGGACTATCGCAGAGCCGTGCCCGCCAAAGACCACAGCGTCGAGGGGGTCGCCACCCTCAGGGGTTGTGGCAGGGACGTCCTGAACGAGCAGCGCCGCGGAGGGCTGCTGCTGCTGATCATGCCTGTCATCCTGCTGCGGCATCAGCTTGCCGCTGGGTGGCGAGGAGGCTTCCGCTGCTGCTGCTGCTGCTGTTGCTGCGGGCCTGACGGGTGCGCTCACGGCCCTTTGGCCCCCCATGCCAGGCTGCAGCTGCTTTGATTTGGCCGCTGATACGCTCAGAGAGCGCTTCGACATGGTTGCGATGTTGGCAAGCGCGCTCTGATCTGCGGGATTTGAATCAAACGCGTCGTATTTAAGCACATATGTTGGGTTTCACCTGATGCATCGCGATCGATCGTGGAGCGCCTGCTGACAATCAACGCAATGTGCTGCTGCGTGCGCTCTGCTCGTGCCAGGCTCGTGCTGACAACAACGCCCCCTCGTCTGCAGCTTTCGAAATGGTCGCAGTGCTGTTGGCAGCAACGCGCGGGATTCAGAATATACACGCATGTTACAGCCAACATTTTTGATTGTGGCCGCAAGTGCCGCCGCTGCCTCGACAGTCCGAGTCAGATACTGTAAGCGGGTTGGTCGTAGAGTCCAGGAAAGGCAACACTAATGCGTGTACACAAGCAGGCAGGGAGCAGTCATGAGGTAAGCAAGCTCCATTCATCAGCAAAGACCCGAAAGGCAAAGCATGGGTTATGCCAGCAGCAAGCTGCATGTGGCGCGTTTGTGATGGGTGCTCGGCAGCACGGCAGGCCTGCAGCAGCACCACCGTCATGGTGACCACAAGCATGCAGGAAGCCACAAGACACCAGGCATTCTTGCTGAAAATATATACCAAGCTTCCTTCCGGGGGTTGGTAACATGCGCACGGTCTGAATTCTGCCCACCATTGCCTGTGATGTGTGTTCAAAGTGCCACAGGGCACTCTGAACAACAACAAACAACAACATCCGCCAGAGCGACACCATTGCAAGACACGCTACGCAGAAGCAACAAATGTGCATCAATGCCAGAAAGTGTCCATGACATGACAAAAACGCCCATATCCAGCAGGAGCGGCACCAACCACTGTACTGTACCGCGTGCGGTACGGCCTGGCGCTTCACATATAAGCACCGCATGCATGCAGCACGATGCCATTGGCCTTCCACCCTCCATTGGTGGTCCCCGCTGTACACGGACCCCAAACAGGCCTGTTTTACTGCCTGGCGCCAATCGCCGCCGTCCAACCCAGGTCAGTGCCGATCATCTCCGCCAGCGCCGCGTTGGTGGCCGCAAACCAGCGAGCCCCCACCGCGCGGCGCACTGAGGGGTCCATCTTTGCGCCCTTGTAGTCTGTGGCCATGCCAGGTGGCAGCCGCTGGAAGCGGTACCTGCCATAGTTTGAGCGCAGGGATGGGGGGTTAAGGGGGGGTTGCATGATGAGTGGCGATGGGGGGAGATTGGCGACCTGGCAGCAGGTGTGTCTGGTCGAGCGTCCACCGTGTCCGTGTTTGTGGACGGCGGACTAGCGGCGCACCTGCAGCAGCCATCGAAAAAGGTTTCCACCCACCTATCACGCACAACCAACAGCCCAGCCGACGCCCAGCTCGTGGCAGGCGGAGGAAACATTGATCCACCCGGATCCACTAGTGTGCACACCCGCGCCCTCGCCAGTCCCCACCTGTCGCCGTCAGCGCCCACGAACGCCAGCACCTCCCTCACGACCGCCTCCGGGGACTCCACGAAGCGCTTGAAGTCCACAACCAGCAGGCTGACGGCCGCGGCGGGCGGGGTAGGCCCGCCATGGGGGCGCGCGGGAGGGGATGGGCGAGGTGGGGCGAGGTGGGCGGGGCGGCCAACAACGACGGACGGCACCGGCGTCGTGTGCAACGTCAAAGCAGGTGCTGTGCCGCTCGGGCGTCTTCCCGTTCCTGTGTGAAGCCGCCAATGACCCGGATGGCCGATCAGGCCGGCTGAGCAAGTCTGCTGGTGTTGATCAGCCAACGGGCAGCTCCAGACATTGCAGGGCCCGCGCCTCATCGACCCACGCGCGCGCCTCGCGCATGCGCGACGCCGCCGCGCTCGCAGCCCCAGAGAACATCGGCGCCCCTTACTTCTCTGGTGGCAGGTGGCGCGCCCAGTCAGCGAGGCGGTCCGCGTACTGCGCCCCCTTGATGTAGCTGTGGGCGTTGGTGTAGAAGCGCTGCGGCAGCTCAGCGGGCAGGTCCGCGTCGGCGGGCAGCTCAGCCAGGCTGGACCAGAAGGCATCATGGCCGGGGTCACCCTGAATGTGCACGTGGGGGTTGGTACGTAGCAGGTGATTTCGGGTGGGTGCGTTGTGGAGGTGGTTGGGGTATGGATGAACAATGACACATCTCAAGTTGGCGGGTCTGATTGAGGTACGTGGGGCCAAGGCAGTGCAGAACCTGCAGCGAGGTTTGGGCTGAATTGATAGATGTCGAAATCGGGAGTAGCCGGCTGGGTGGATGCATCACAATTCATTCCAACACATTGTTTTGAAAGGCACCCAGCACTCACCAGCAGCCAGCCAGCAAACAAAGTCAAAGCTTTCAATCCACTGCAATGCATCCCTTGCATCGCGGAAGACAAGGCACGCGATTTGCTATGGAATCAATACCCTCCCCACCTGTTGAACGAGCGCCCTCCCCACCCATCGATTTAGCTCCCTCCCCACCGGCCCCAGCCCACCCTGAGCAGGTCATTCCCGTCCTGGGGCCCCATCTCCACGTCGACATAGCCGCCACGCCTCCCTGCCACAACGGAGCCGGGCAGCGGCCGCGCGAGGGACCAGGTCAGGGGGACGCCCATGCCGCGCAGCATGCTCTCGGCGCTGAAAACGGCGGCGGTCGGCTCGCGGATCTGCGGCGCGTGGCGTCGAGGGGGCAGGCAAAGGTGGCCGCTCACAGCAAGGTCCGCTTGCTGTGAACAATCTAGGGCATCAACTCAGCCCTGGAATTTCATGCGTCATAAGGGTGCAGAAGTCCCAGGAACGTCTTTATTGGCAGCCAAGCAAGGTGCGGCTGCGCCCGGCGCCTTCAGTGGCTGCCGGTGGCCGTGGAGCACGGCTGCGCCGCACCTGCGCTTGTGGGGCATGAACAAAGCACTCTAGCAACCGTACTTCAGGCGGGTCGGCGCCCCTCACATGAATGGCCCGCCCCGCCCCGTGTTACAGTGCGTGGGTGTGTGCTGTGCCTCACCATGAAGATGACCTTTGCGTCAGGCGTGAGCGCCTTGACACGCGCGGGGATGTAGGGCAGGCACGCGTACGTGGGCGTGGCGTCGAAGCACTGCCAGCGCCGCGCGCCGCGCACCACCTCGCACCACCACCTATGGGCGTGGGCAGCAGGGCTGGGGTCGCTTACTAAGCGGTGATAGTATCACCAGGCAGGTGATGTTGTTGCTTCAAACTCTCAGGGGTGGCTGCCTTCTGCGCATCGCACATATGGCCTATATGCAGATCCACGAGCCTTTGAGCCCTAGCTGCTGCCCTGCAGCCACGTCAAACAACACCTGCATCCGTAAACATCCCTCGCGAGCGCAAGAGGCTGCACCGACATCGCGCGGCCTTCGACCCTGCCCCCCCACCTGGTCATGACTGTGGGAAAGAAGGAGCGGTACAGGGCGGCGCTGGTTGCGGCCGACCCCCGGCCCAGCAGGCCCCCCATGAAGTGCGACTCCTTGCCCAGGGCCTCTGAGGGGCAGCGCGGACAGTTGTTGCCGTTGAACACGCGGAGCGCCACGCAGGTTGCGCGTAAGTGCCGAGCACCAAAGCAGCAGCGAGGGCCGATACCCAGGCAATTGCGCTGCTCCCCCCAGCCCTGGACTACCTGCCTTGCGGATACGCCCCACGCTGCCTGTGTGTGCTACTGCTCCACTCCACCTACACGGCATGCCTTGCTCCATCACACCACCCATCCGCCACTCTGTTGCCCCCCGTTTTTGGCCCGCCCACCGTGCCCCGGCATGCCCGCGATGCCGCAGAGGTCTGGGTGCAGCTTGAGGTAGGCGGCCAGGCTGGTGGTGCCACACTTCTGCAGGCCGCAGGAAGGGCGCGAGGTGGGTGCGTTGAACACGGGTGCGGTGGGCGGGCGGATGAGGCGCGCGGGTGCAGAGCAGGCGTGATGGGGTGAATTTGAGGGGCCGCGTGCAGGAGGGGCCACGCCGGGGACGAGAGCAGGGGCGTATGAATATACGGCTGGTGCCGGCCCCGAGCGCAGTGCGGCTGGGCTCGCAGCGGGGATCAGAGCAGAGACACTTTGAAAGTGCTGACAAATTGCCGACACGAGCCTCTGGAATCCAGGTGGTGCCGATCTGCAGCTGTGCATCGTGCAAAGCCACCCTTCACACCCACCTCCACACACACAAACAGTTGCACACTGTCTGCCCGTGTCGTGGATTGCAAGCCGGCGGCCGCGCTCACCGGGAAGCCAGCGATGTAGAAGTTTGGCAGGTGTGGCCGCATCGGCAGGGTCAGCAGGCGGCCCACCACCGTGATGCAGTGGGCCCCCTCAAACTGGAGGCGCAGCAGGGTGGAACCCAGCCAGCCCCACTCGGCGCGGATGGGGCCCTGCGGTTGGTGGATGGGGGGCTGGGTGGGATGGGACCTCTTTTTTTGAAGGCAAAGCAGAGTGCCTTCAGCAGCTTGTGAGAATGGCGTGTTAACAGCACAGACCTGTGGAGCCGCACTGCTGCAGCTGCTCGGGCGGAGGGCGCGCAGGGTGCACGCATGAGCCCAGGACCGCGCACGCGGACAGACAGCGTTGCTGTTGTGCCGCTGGACGACTTAACCGCTGACTGATCATCACCTGCCAGGCGTGGGGCAGGAAAGGACACGCCCAGTACAGCCGCCGCGCGAGCAGCTGCGCCGGCCACACCATCAGCGCCGGCACAAACGCCGCCACGAGCGCCGCCAGAAACAGCACGCCAAGCAGCGGAAGTGCCAGCGGCATCAGCACGTAGTTGTGCACCCAGGAGCGGCGGCCCCGCAGCTCCAGCCGCCCGGAGGAGATCGTCGCGCCGGACAGCGCGGCCAGCACCGCCGGGTGCTCGTGGCTGAGGTGCAGCCGCGGAAGGGCCGCGCGTGCAGGCACAGGGGCGGGGGCCGGGACGGGGGCTGCTTCTGGACGCTCGGCGGGCTCGGCGGGCGCGTCCGCCGCTGCGGCGCGCGGCGGCCTAGGCGAGAACGGGAGCGCCTCGTCGGCGCGCTTGTGGCCGGGCCGGGCGGTTGGGATGACGAGGACGGTTTCGCCGGCCGAGGACGCGTCTGACGAGGCGGTCGAGGCGGCGGGGGAGAGCCGCCCCATCTTCGGGCTGCAGCTGTCGCTGCCCGCGTGGACCACCACCGCCGGGGCAGCAGGCTTTGCTGGGTTTTCGGCCGGATTCAGAGGGGCCAGCGGGGCCAGCAGGGGCGCGCCGGCATCGCCGCTGGTGTGTGGGGGTTGCATGTGAAGTTTGGCCTGACTGCGCCCGGGCAGTTTTGGCCGCTGTGGCCGAGGAGATGCCACGGCACCGCGAACGAGGTGTTGGGTGGTCAGAAGCGCCAGGTATGGACCTCGTCTGGGCTAATGGTGCAGCGTGTGCCAGGCAAGGGGCTTTGACCGGGCAATGGCCATTCCGAGTCGTGTTGCCGAGGGTGCGTTGGAACGCGGTCACCGAGACAGCTGGGGGCTGGAGCGTAGCCGCATAACTCTTCATGAAGGCAAGACAATGTGTATACAGTGTTGTCCTTGTAGAGATCAGATTGCTGAGATCGCAAGTCTCACTTTTTCCATTACCTGTCCACCGTTCCAGCTGCATTGAACAGTTTTGCGTACACGCACAAATTCAAGTACTCAAGCTACGTTGCTCCACTCTTTTAATAGCTCTCGCCGCGCTTGTTTTGCTGGGTACAGTACAGCGCGCTTATGCCGGTACCGGTAGAGAAAACTACGGTGTATAAGGGCTAGTGTCTTCGAGAGCTGGCACCTGGCAACGGCTATGACCGGCGCAGCAGTGCGCGCGGCGGTCACTGCGCTGCTCCTCACTCTGCTGCTGGCCGCAACCCGCGCCAAGAAGGCGGCGCCTGCGCAGCAACGGGACGAGTTCTACTTTTACAGTGAGCCTCCGCGGCCCAGCGATGGCGGGTGGCCATTGCAGGAGGGCAGGAACCCGGACAGCCCTGGGAGCACTGCAGCACAGTGCACATGGCCGCGCAGCAGGCCCGTGCGCTCGGCGGCCTCTCCCTGACGACCCGCTGACAGCCTCCGCTTTCATGATTATCTGCATGCGTGCTGCATGCAGATGAGATGACTGGTGCAGTGCAGTGGGAAGGTGGGTGCTGCTGCGGGTGGGTGATGGGTAAGCGTCTGATGGGTCACCTTGCAGCAGTCTCTCCACTCAGCCCGTCGCACAACTTGTTCTAAAGATGGTTGGTAGCCGGGTGCACGACCATAGGTGACAACCCCCCTGGCTACGGCAGCTGCCGTGGCTTTCCTTGGAAGCCACAATGTGTGCGGCGACATGCACAGGCCAGCGCTGCCCGCGCGCGGCTGGCCCTGCCCCTCCGCCTATGCAGCAACCCCCGCGTGCTGCCTGGCGCCACCCTGCTGCCGCCGCCTATCCTGGTTTCAAGCCCCACTCACCCCGCCAAACTCTGTGCACCTCGCCCCACTGCTCCCTTCTCACTGCTCACGTCCCCTGAACCCCTTCCCGCTCGCCACGTGTGGCGCGTCGCTGGGTTCTCCAGATAGCCTGCCCTGTGTTGAAGCCCCTTCTCCCCCATGCACTATCCAAACCCCAGACCCCGGTGATGTGCCCTTTGAGGACGACAACGGGCTGCGTTTCTGGCTGGGCAGCAGCCACGAAAAGCTGTCAGAGGACCCCACCAAGATGAAATACTCCTGGTGGGGCTTTGGGGGCGAGGGGTGTGGGGCTCATTGGGAGCGGTCGACAGAGGGGCAGGGGTGGACGGCCTGGACGATTTGACG